ACAAGATGGTGTTTTTGTTTTGATTTGCTAATGACGAAATCCCAAGACAAAAATATGATATTGTATTGGTAGAAAATAATCTTGTATCATGTAATATAGCTTCATCATGCATGCCATATTAGAATTAGCCCATAAGCGAATCATTATTTCATATTTAGCAAGACTTATTATTTCAGACTTTTAGTTGGTCAGCTATTAGTTGTCGATTATTTTAAAAGATATTTAAATTTTGAAGCAAAAAACATGAAATATACAAACAATTCCAATATAAATCCAGTACTTTTAAGTATAAGCTTTTTATTAAATATAAAAAGCAAAAAGTTCTTTTGGGCAGCACTTTTCAGGTATTTATTTCTTATGATCGAGATCATATTATTTGCACAATATATCACTTACTACACATAGTCAATATTTATTTTTTTTGAATATCATAATATCCACTGCTATTACCAGCTTTAAAAAATTCTTTATATACATATTAGATATCTTAAATGTCTCAATCAAATAGACTACTAAAATCACATACTCATGCGACTCATGCATGTAATAATTGTTGAAAGAGACATCGAAGATGCGAAAGACCTTCTGAAAGCGACGATTGTGCATTTTGTAGAAACCATGGATTTGTCTGTGAAAAAGCCTTGAGTAGAAAATGTGAGTGTAAGTCTGTATCGCACATTCCTTTTGAAATTATCAAAACATTTATTAACCAAGAACCAATACCAAGTATCAAAATACTATACCAATTAGTACTACAATTTCTTCTTTTGGCCAAGGACAAATTTTATATGATTAAAATATCGTGTCAATTAACTGAGAACTAATTACCATATCAATTAACCCTTCTGAAACTACAGCTGAAGAATTTCTATCCTTCTACTCAAACTTCAAAACTATTTGGAATCTTATCCCTCTTTTTGAGACTACCAAAATGACTGCTGAAGTATTTATTAATTATAATTGTATCTGTTTTTGAGATTGCAGAAGAGACTGCCAATGCACTTATTAATTCTAATCATATCTTTCATATTGAAACTGCCAAAGTGACTGCTGAAGTGACTGGCTATATGAAAAACCAATTAGATCAAAGATCTTGTATTACTGAAATAAACGAATATATGAAAAATATTAAGGAATTCAAACATTTATGACAAAAACTATACCATGACATTAGCTAAACCCTTTAATTTGAGCCTTAAAATAAGCGAAAATATGAAAAAATATCAAGAAACTCAGATATTTATAATGAAAACTGTACTTCAAAATTAATTTTACACATACTTACTTATCGTGCAACACGCGATGGATTTGATTACAATAAATTTATCGCGAATAATTGTAGCGGCGCGATTCTTGGGTTAATTAAGATCTCTGATCCAGGTAAGATAATTGGTGGATATAACCCCCTAGGTTTGAGAAATATAAATAATAACTATAGTAGAGGTTATTATACCAACAATTATGCGCAATGGGAAGTGACTAATGACAGGTGAGTTATTATTTACAATGATTCTTGATTTTATTGATTGTATATATATAATTCTTTTTCTACAAATATAAATTTTGTAGCTTTATTTTTGTTTTGAAGATGTTAAAGGTTCTAATACTCATTCACTTAGCCGTGTGGTAAATTTTTCAACAGCAATTTATAGTTATGGTGGAAATTGGATGAATTTTGGAAACGCTGATTTGGTGTTAAATGGTCAGCATGGAACTTGTACACAAGGTCAATATGATAAGAAGATTTTAAATGTCAATAATGTTGTCGTTAAGGAGTTAGAGACTTTTGTCGTGCAAAAAAAGTAAAACTGAAAAATTAGTTGCATTGCAATATTTTTGTTTTTTTTTGCTAATTTGCTTATGCTTTGTAATAAAGATTATTAATTTGTCTTATATAGCCCTTTTTGGTAACTATAAAATTTTTTGCAAATATACTCAGCAGCTTTATTACCGCTCTTTTGATTTAGTTGGATCGACGATCATCGTAGTCACTTCAACTTCACCATATTTCGTGGGACTCATTTTAATTATTCATATATTTCCCTTTTATTGATAAATAAGTTTCATAAAATATAACAATGGTATATGTTCAT